TCCTCCTCCTTTTCCTCCTCCTTTTCCTCCTCCTTTTCCTCCTCCTTTTCCTCCTCCTCCTCCTCTCCTTTTTTGCTCCTATTCTTCTCCTCCTCTCTTTTCCTCCTCCTCTCTTCTCTTCTCTTCCTCCTTCTCCTCCTCCTCTTCATCTACCTCCTCCTCTCCTCTCCTCTTCTCTTCCTCCTTCTCCTCCTGGCATTGGGTGGGGCCTGAACACTTCTTATACCACTCAGAAGCATAGGCAGGCCCCAGTGGAGATGTTGAGGCTAGAGACTAAACAGCATGATGAGTGGAGCAGGGGGCTAGGGCCCACAGTCTACAGTTCTAATCTGTCTTAGCTTTTCAAAAGGATTTCAGAGCATTGAACTTGGGCGATGTTAGCTTGTATTGTCTAGTAGCTAACGCAAAAGAATAGCGGATTCAGAATGATCAGCAGTATCACAGGAGAACACCGTGCCCAACAGACCAGAGAGAATCACCTGCCAGGGGAAAAGGCCAGGCTTGTGTAACAGCAAACCAATGTGCCAATCAGTAGAGTGAAGAGACATCGTGGAGGTGAACAAGTCCATAGAAATGGGGCGGTGCAGGGCTGGGGTTCTCTCAGGAATGTTTTTCCTCTTTCTGTGCCAGGTATTAAATGTGGTACCCAGACTAAGTTTCAGCCTGAAAGGAAAATGAGAAATTCTCTGCTATACTTTGGTTTGGTTTGGTGTTTTGGTTTTTTTGAGACAGGGTTTCTCTGTGTAGTTTTGGCTGTCCTGGACTCACTTTGTAGACCAGCCTAGCCCTGAATTCACAGAGATCCCCCTACCTCTGCCTCCTGAGTGCTGGGACTACAGGCATGTGCTACCATGCCCAGCCTACTTGGCTTCTCTTGATGGATAATCATGAACAGCCCACTGAGCTGCTTTCCATCTGTCCAATTGGGATAGTTGCATCCACTTTGCAGCATATAGCCCCTGGTACACCCACACCATGAGGTGTCAATGACCTAAATGAAGGCCCAGGGGCAAGAACCTGCAGGAGCTGTGACTAGCTGTTGGCTAGTGAGCCAAAGAAGAAATTAATACAGAGTTTGAGTGCTAGGTTGGGCTTTAGTCATTGTGCTTAATGACCTACCTGGATGCCTGGATCCCCAGTGTAGAAGAATGAGATTCATGTGTAAGCCTGAGGCTTTGGCTCTGTGTGCCTGGCTTCTAGCCCAAGTATTGCAGGAGATCAAGAGCGGGGTTTGGAGTTAGATTCCAAACTCTGCTCCATCCTAGATAAACTGTAGAGTAGAGGGGTGCCCTCAGGTCTCTTCTAAACCTGTATGTCGTGAATGAGGGTCAGGTGATATGATACACTGTGTCTCAGTGAGGTTACATGTCAGTTGGTAATGTCCTGAAATGAATGTGCATCTAACACACCATATTTAGTGTGGTTGCTACTAAATGCTAAACTGTCAGTCCATCGCCAATTTGAAAGATCCTAAGTAGAACCTTTTTAAGGAAAAAGTTTCAGGGCTCTATAAAGTGTTTTATAGAATAGAAGGCCTGCTTTATGTGGGGTCAGAAAAGCAACCATGCTTAAGCTGAAACCCAAAGGACCAGAGAAGTTGAAGCCTCTATGAACTCCCCAAGGAACAAGTAGGAGCCCTAGATGCAGCTCCCTAACCTGTCCCTCTTGCTCCCAGACGGCGACACTGTACCCTGGTGTGGTTTTCGGCATCTGTTTTGTGTTGAATTGCTTCATCTGGGGAAAGCACTCTTCAGGAGCGGTAAGTGTTTTCCCAGTCCAGCCCCTCTCTGGCAAAGAGAGCTGCTGGCTTAGTCCTACTCCCTAAGGTCACTTCCTGTTGTTCCCTTCCCTTTTCTGAGTCCCCAAAGTTCTGTTCCCAGCTGCGAGGGTTGAGGGTTGGCTGGGGTTTCCCCAGCATTGTCCATCTATCTCTGCCCTGGCCTTTCTGCAGGCTTGGAAACAGCGGGCAACAGCTCATTTCTCTAAAGGGAGGTTTCCACACTCCAGGGGCCAGTTGGGGAATTCCCCGTGCCTCAAGCAAAGTGAGAGTTGACTGGTGTGAGTGGATAAGGTCAGAGGGCTCACCTTCTCAGTGTCCACCATACCACCCCAGAGTGGAGCTCCCATTAGCCACAGGCTTCTGAGGACTCTGAATAAACGTGGCTGTGCTGAGGGAGTGTGGAAGTGTGGGCCGTTGGTCAGTTCTCAGCGGTGCAGGACAAGTGGGGCAGGTGTCTGCTGGGCCTCCCACCCCTGCTTGTGGGTGTCTGGATGTAGGCTGCTTCTTCCCAGCAGTGTAGGAAACCCTTAGTATTCAAAGTAGACTCTCTAGAAAGCACAGACAGTAGGAAATGAAGCGTACACTCCAGCAGAGCCATCAGAGAAACGCTGCAGATGTCTTTGATATGTGCTCTTTTGGTCTTTTTCCTTTAGCAGAGATACTTAAAATGAGAGGGAATATATGATTTAAACATTATAACAAATGATATTTATTGTAATAAATACTGTCTAAACATTTAACATCTCTTACTAATTTTAGGTGGCATACAAAGTAATGCATTCCATTATGGCATTTTACACATGTATACCGCTGTACTTTGTTCCCATTCCCCGTGCTCACTGCCCTTCTTCTTGTCCTCTTCCCCCCTCTGGCTGGTCCCCTTCCTTCCTCTACTAACTCCCAACTTCTGCTTTCTTATCACATGTATTACATTTCCCTATTTCCCCCTCCTTGAATCTCTTTTTTTCCCTTCTAATGATTTTCTTTCTAGTTTCTTGAGTTACACATACACGCACACATATATACACACACAAAAAAATTTTTACATCTAGGTTCTATATATAAGAGAAAGCACACAGTATTTGTCTTTTGGGTCTGGCTTATTTTAATATAATGGTTTCTGGTTCCATCCATTTCCTGAAAATTGTTGCTATTTCATTTTCTTTATCTTCTGAACAGTTCCACTTCCTGGCTGTTGTGACTAGTGCAGCAATAAAGTTGGAGGAGCAAATATCTCTGTAGTGTGTTGACTTAGAAGTCTTTGCATATATACCCAAGTAGTGTAGCTGAGCTACATGGTAGTTCTATTTGTGCTTCTTGCTGATTTCTGTAGTGGCTGCACAGGTTTACATTCCCACCTTAACATATGTTAACACAGTTCTTTTTGCTTAAGTCTTATAGAAAATGACTATACAGAAGACGATGAGGAAGATGAAAAAAATCAGTTCTAACCCATTCCAAGGAAGTATTGTTAACTTTTTGTTGTAGGCCTTTTCAGACACATACACATGTAAACATTGACTCTGGGGCTTAGGTTGTAGTTCACTTAGCAGAGTGCCTGCCTAGCATGTGTGAGACCCTGAGGTCCATCCCCAGCACTTCATGAACTCATTGTGGTAGTGCATGCCTTGTAATCCCAGCACCCAGGAGGTGGAGGCAGGAGGATCAGAAGTTCAAGGTCATCCTTGGCTACATAACGGGTTCAAGGGCAACCTAGGATACATGAGGGCCTGTCTAAAAAATTAATTTTATTAAAATGGAGTCCTTTTTATAACTCCAGGCCAATGCCCTGCTTTTCCTACTTGGAAGAATATTGTGGTGTTTCATTTTAACCAAACTCAAGCAGTTTTGCCTTTTCCCTTGTTCTCTTCACTCAGCAGACCTCATGTTGTGTCCTTTCCTTCTGGCCCCTTCACAGCTCCTTGGGGTTCTCAATTCCCACTTCCTCCCTGGATGCTGAGGTTCCATCTTCACTGGAAGCTCACATGGCCCCCATCTGTACCCTGCTCTTCCCACAGGAAATTCTTGGCCTCAAGAGATTCAGGCCAGGAGCCCTGGGGCAGAAGAGTCTTCCGGCCCTTTCCCACCACAGTGGCCCTGCTGCACAAATGGCTTCTCCTTCCCGGAGCCCAGAGCTGCCCCTTCCCACCACTACCCTACATGCATGGCTTTTGTTCTAGGTATTAGGGCCTATGGGGGCCTCATAGCACTGTGTCCACAGGTACCATTTCCCACCATGGTGGCTTTGCTGTGTATGTGGTTCGGGATCTCCTTGCCTCTCGTCTACTTGGGCTACTACTTTGGCTTTCGCAAGCAGCCATATGACAACCCTGTGCGCACAAACCAGATTCCCCGGCAGATCCCTGAACAACGGTGGTACATGAACCGATTTGTGGGGTGAGTCTTGGCAGAGGCGAACAGGAGTCTTCCAGTGTAGGTAAGGCTAGCGCTCCCCTAAGCCATCTTCATAGGAGAACATGAAGAGGCTACCTTCCCAGAAGAGTGCTGAGATCACCCTGCACCAGCAGCAAGTGCACTACCAGATGGCTTGCAAGCTCAGCTTCATGTTACAGTGAAGACAAGACTTGGTGTCTCTCTAGAAACTAGGTCAGGAAAGCAGAGGGGTGCAAGGAGGCAGAGGTTAAAACCTTTACTTAAGCAAGGACTATTGCTCGGTGTAGAAGACTTACTTACCTAAGATGCACACTACCCTAGGTTCAGTCTCCAGTATCCCAAACCCGGAAGCCACATGAAATAATTGAATTTAAAAAAAGAAAAAAAGTTGGACAGTGGTGGTGCACATCTTTAATCCCAGCACTTGGGCTGTAGAGACAGGTGGGTCTCTGAGTTCAAGGCCAGCCAGGTCTACAGAGCAAGTTCCTGGACTACACAGAGAAACCCTGTCTCAAAAAAGCAAACAAAACAAAACAAAAATCCACCAGTTGAACCTGGGGCAAGTCAGTCACCATTCTACCTGAGTTCCCTTCTATGAACTGAAGAACATTTGAGCCACCCTGCTCTTTTGCTCCTTATCTTATATACATAAGATATAGTGGTATCAGAACATGGCAAAGCTCAGAACTCGCACCATTTAGGCCTTCTGTGTACTGACACTCGGGAGAGCATGGCTTCCCAGGGTTGGCGTCTCAGCACTATTAACAGTCCTTCTTTGCTGCAGCATCCTCATGGCTGGGATCCTGCCCTTTGGTGCCATGTTCATTGAGCTGTTCTTCATCTTCAGTGTGAGTACCGCTGACTCCACCTCTCCACATGCAGCCTTGCCACATGAGCCTGGTCTCTTGCCCTGGTTTAGGCCCTCTGCTTCTTGCTGTCTATGAAATTGCAGGAGTCCCCTGCTTAAGCCCAGTAAAAGTCCTGACTGTCAGGACAGTTGAGAGGTAATGGAGACATGCTGTGCACGCATGGCTCATTCGTGGAAGGGCTCAGCGCATGGCAGCCTTCTGGCCTCTGAGCACCAGGCACACATGCGGTACAGACATGCATGCAGGCAAAACATCCATCTATACAAAATAATCTTTAAACTGTTGTTGTTTTTTTGTTTGTTTTTAAGAAAGTCAAGGGGCTGGAGAGATGGCTCAGTGGTTAAGAGCATTGTCTGCTCTTCCAAAGGACCCGCGTTCAATTCCCAGCACTCATATGCAGCTTACAACTATCTGTAATGCCTATTCCAGGGGATCTTACACCTTCATAATAATGCACATAAAATAAAGTTAAATAAGAAGTCAAGGACCAGGTGCAGTGGCACATGCCTTTAATCCCAGCCCCAGTACTTGGGAGGCAAAGGTAGACAGCACCTTAAGGCCAGCCTGGCCTACACAGAGAAACCCTCTCTTGAAAACAGGAAGAAAAAAAAAAAAAGAAGAAGCCAAGTTTAGGAGTACTTGGCCAGCAGCACAGAACAAACTCAAGAGTATTTTGCTTTGTTTGGACTCTTTGTTTTTTTGGGTTTTTTTGTTTGTTTGTTTTTGTTTTTGTTTTTTGTTTTTTTTTTTTGGTTTGTTTATTTTGATTTTCTTTAGTGGTGTGTGTGGGGTTTTTGTTTTTATTTGTTTGTTTTTGGTGTTTGGAGACTGGTTTTTTTCTGTGTATCCTTGGCCGTCGTGGACTCAAGGCCTTGAACTCACAGAGATCCACCTGCCTCTGCCTCCCCAAATGCTGGGATTACAGGTGTGTGCCAACATGCCCAGCTGTTTTTGTTGTTGTTTTTGTTTGTTTTGGTTATTGTTGATGTTTTTGTCTTTTTAAAAAGAGAGCCAAGAAGAACATAAAATTAGGTGGGTTGGGAAATGGGGAAAGCATAAAAATACATTGTATGAATTTTTTTCAATAAAAGGTTTTTTTGTTTTTTGTTTCTAAAAGGTCAAGGGGTGGGGTGCTGCAGAGATGGCTCTGTGGTTAAGAACACTGGCTGTTCTTTTAGAGGCGCTGAGTTCAATTCCCAACACCCACATGACAGCTCACTACTGTCTGTAACTATAGTCCCATGGGATCCAGTGCCTTCTGGTGTACAAATGTGCATGCAGACCAAACACCCAGATAGATAGAGAGATAGATATAAATAGATCTTTAAGTAATAATAATAATTTAAAAAAAGGTCAGGGTTATGCAGGCCTATGTGTAGCAATGAAGCTAAAGGGTGCAGCATGCACCTGGCATGAGGTAAGCTGCTGTACAATCCTGATGGGGTGGGAGTAAGCTTACATGCTGTCAGGTGTAGTCTGGAGTCCACCTGGGCCACAAGCCCTCCCTGAGAGGGGCCTGGTAGAAATGGCTGCTGAGCAGCAGGCAGCTGAAGCGGTCTCTGTGCCCACAGGCAATCTGGGAGAACCAGTTCTATTACCTCTTCGGTTTCCTGTTTCTCGTTTTCATCATCCTGGTGGTGTCCTGTTCCCAAATCAGCATCGTCATGGTATACTTCCAGCTGTGTGCAGAGGTGAGGCGAGTGGGGCTGTGCAGAGAGGGTGGATATCCCACGTGGGGTGCTGCTTCAGGCTGTCGTGCTCCCCTGCCTAAGCCATTTTCCACTCTGCACTGGAGTTCATGATGCCCACCTCACAGCACGGCCGTGATTTTTTGGCACCAGTGCCACTCCATAGCTAACTCTTCAATTGGCAGGTGCAAGTGCAGTCTGCCTGCCTCCGCTGTGGGAGTAAGTAGCTCCTACAGAGTGGGTAGGCCAGTGCAGAACCACTACCAGCCTGGGCTAAAATACAAGTCTTCCACTAGTGTGAGGTCACTTCAGTACTGACTGACTGACCCTCACCCAGGGGAAGCATTTGCTCAAGCAAACTTACTTGTTACTCATTTTTTTGTTGATCTCAAAAGTTAAGATATGATTTATAGGCAATAAAATTTACCCATTTTAATCTGTAGTTTTTAGAAATGAATCCAGATAAGGGACTGTCATCACAGTCAAGCTGTAAAACATTCCGTCATCCAACTGTGACTGTTTTTACTGAGTGTCTTGAGTGTCATTCTGTTGATAGTGAGATTTGTGGGAAGATGCCCTGATCATGACCCTTCCTGTCTTTGCTCCTTAGGATTACCGCTGGTGGTGGAGGAATTTCCTCGTCTCAGGGGGATCTGCATTCTACGTCCTGGTTTATGCCATCTTTTATTTTGTTAACAAGGTACCACCCTCCTTAAGATCCCCTTAGCCCTCTCTGGGGCTGGCTGGTAAGGGAGGAGGAGACTGTTGAAAGGGAGCCAAGTGTGTAGATCATGCTTGCATACCCAAAGTGGAGGTGACCAGAGCCATTAGAACTGGGTTGTATGTTTGGGAAACAAGCTTCAGTCTGAGGAACAGTGTGAATGCTGTGTACAGAAACCTGTGAGAGTCTTGGAACATGAAGGCAGTATGGCTTGCAGTCTCAGCCCTAGGAGGCTAGGTCTGGAGGGGTTGAAGTTGAGGGTATGTATGTAGCAAGACCATTTCTGCTGCTTCTAGTGTGGCTTGTGTCCTGGATCCCTGCCTAGGGGTGATGAGGAAATGAAGAAAGGACAGACACGCATATAGAAAATCTAGGATCACTGACAACTGTGAATCTATGTGGGTTTAGTATAGATATAGCACAGGGGAAAGGTTGCCTCTTGGTAAGAGGTCTGTGTGGGCAAGCAGTCTGAGGTTGGAGGAGGAAGCTGCACACACTGATCATTCATAAACAACTCAAACTCCTGAGGAAGGCTTTGTCATTCCTCTTGAGCCTAGCATTGGAGTCCTTGACATGGCTGTGTCCATGTCACTCAGGATTTCACTCATGAGGGGTTTCCGCGCTTCCCTATACATCCTCAAAGGCAGAAAGTTACTCAGAAATAAGGCTGATAAATACAGTACTCACCTCCAGTGAGAGAGTAAAGGCAGTTGGAAAAAATAGAGATAAATCAGGCCAGGGAAATGGTTCCATCCGTAAGGTGCTTCTGTGTACTCATGAGGACCAGAGTTGGATGGCCCAGGACACTCATAAAAATGAGAATAGCAGCATGCGCCCGTAGACCCAGCACTGAGAAGGGAGAGGCAGGGTCCCTGAAGCTTGTGGACAGCCAATCTGGTCTGCTGAGTTCCAAGTTGTGAGAGGCCTTGTCTCTAAAGTGGAAAGTGATTGTGGAAGAGGCCCAGTGTTTACCTCTGGCATCACACCGTGTGCACACACAAGCACGTGCACACTTGGAGACAAAGATAGACTGTTCCTCAGGTCATTGGCCCTTCTCTTCTTTACTCCACACTCCTTCCTTCTGCCTAGTGAAGAGAGAATGAGCCAGGGCTAGACTTGTGTTGTGGAGGCTTGCTTGCTACATAAGCTCGCACAGGTTAAGTGTGGGCTAGAAATCAACAGTCTGGCTTAGCAACTAAGGCAAACCAGATGGGCCAGTTAGAGGAGTTTAGGGAGGCTTTGGTGGGTATCTGACCTCCAACACTGAAGATTTGATTTCATATGCTTTACTAGAGGTCTCTAAAGCCCAAAGGCAGGCACTCCTCTGCCTGCAACCAGGATGTGTTCACAAAATAAGAGCTGTAGGTCTAGTGTGTGAAAGTTGGAATGCCCAAGTTTCCCCAGAATACCTGGTTGTAGGAAGGACTCCCCAGGTGCTCTGATGCAGTGCTCCACCCTGCTTCTGCAGTCCCAGCAGATGGGCGCATTTGCTTCAGAGGTCAGCAGACTAGTTCACAGGCCAGTAGGCTGCTCTTGAAAGAACATTTGATTGGAACACAGCCATGCACATACACTCACATGTCTTATGGCTGCTTTCACACCACAGTGATAGTGAGTAGTTGTAACCACATAAACTATAAAACTGAAGAAGGAGTAAAAATATTATCCGGCCCTTCAGACAAAGTTTGCTGAGCCTCACTGAAGCTCATCCAGTAAATAGATCTTCCCGACACTCCTATTCTCCAACTACACAGTTCCTGTCATCGTAAAGGTCTCGGTTTCACACCTCAGTCTGCCCCTGTGCACCTTTTATCTCACTCTTCCCATCTCAATGGCCTATTTAAATCAGAATCTTTGTGACCACCAGATAGCTGAAACCATCTTAAGCAAAACAGTCCTTTGGCTGATACAGCTGCATGACTTAGGAAGCAGGAGTCCACCTTCAGCCTGTGAGGCCCACCATCTGAAGATCAGAGCTCTATGCCCACAGCTTAGCTCTATAGATCTTTTTCTGGCTGTCCATAAGTGGGATCTTTCCATACAGTAGAAGGTGATCACTGACAGCCTTGGTGTCTCCACTTTTTTGTTCCCATGGCACTGAAACTTCAGTGATTTCTTCTGGCACCTCATACTGTTTCCAGAGAGGTTTTGCTGTGGTCACACACCTCTCACTTTGTTGGGCCCCATAGGCTGGTGGTCTCTGATGACCAGCTTGGGTTTTGAATTAGGAATGGTGGTGCTAACAAGGCATGAAGGGATGGGAGTGTTTGCCAAAGTACCTATTGGGCAGAGGGAAGGTAGGCAAACAAGAGTTAAAGCTCTCCTCATAGTTCCTGCCCTTCCTCCTGCCCCATCTACCTTCTCTGTTGAAAATCCAACTGGCCCACTCCCATGTCTTTGATAAATGATGGCCTTAGAAGACCTGAACTCAGTACCTTGTCAGCACTTCCTTTTTGTTCATTCCCTTCCTGGTTTGACCACTGTCCTGTTACTTTCTTCTTCTACCCCCTTGATCCCATCCATAGTCACGAAGAATTGTGTACCTGATAGGGCCTTTTGAGGGGAGCCTACAACTGTGGCCTTCGTCCTTTAGGCTTAGAAGATCTCAGGCAGGGACCTATATTATTTCTTTGATTTTTTTTTTTTTTTTTTTTTTCTTTTCTGGGCTTGTTGCATTTTGTGACTATGTATCTATTCATGAGCCTTAGGACAGACCTCTTCAGGGCCTGGAGCACTTGGCGTATATCAAGGTGCCAGATAAGCTGTGTTCTCTGCCACCACCAGACATCACACCACCAGTCCCTTTCACTTCTACCTGTCACAAAAGATGCTAATATACCCCAAGATAAAAAGCACTGTGAGCTATTGGGTTAGTCCTCTAACCCAAGCATTCTCTGGGTTAGAGGACTGTAGACTTGAGGCAGACTGATGATGGCATTGTAGTCCTTAAGCTTGGAGTCATGGGAATCTCCCCATACCTCCTCCTTCCTCCTGATTCTCAGATGCTGCTTCAGCTGTCCAGCAGTGGTGTGGTGCTCTTTTGGGACAGTGGACCAGGAAATATGGCAGCTGCATCCATTTCTACCTATAGAGTTTTCCCCGGACCCCCAAGGTCACAAAGCCCAAGGCAATACTCTGTCCCTGGTACAGTTAGCCTTCTGCTGTGAGTCCTATCACCTTGCCAGGTGTTGGTTTCACAAGATTGGGGGTGGGGAGCATATCTTAGTTACTTATGTATTGCTGTGATTATAAATACCATGACCAAGAGCAACATGAGAAGAAAAGAGTTTATTTGGTGTGCACTTCCACATAGTCCCATCACAGAAGGAAGTCAGGACAAGAACTCAAGTGGGACAGGAACTTGGAGACAGGAGCTAATGCAGAGGCCATGTCGGAGTGCCCTGCAGCTGGATCTTATGGAGGCATTTTCTCAATTGAAGTTCCCTCCTTTCAGATGCCTCTAGCTTGTGTCAAGATAACATAAAACTACCCAGCACAGGGTTTGCAGCTTGCTGTAGCTCGTAGCTGTCTGGCGTTAAACACCCATCCCTTTTTTCTCTGCTATTACCACAGCTGGACATCGTCGAGTTCATCCCTTCTCTCCTCTACTTCGGCTACACCGCCCTCATGGTCCTGTCCTTCTGGCTGCTCACAGGAACCATTGGCTTCTATGCAGCCTACATGTTTGTCCGCAAGATCTATGCTGCTGTGAAGATAGACTGAGTGGGACCAACGCTAGGCCCACTCCATCCTCGGACAGGAAGCCACCCTGCGCGGGGCACTGCAGCACACAAAATAAAAGAACTCCTGCTCATTTGGAATGTAACTCCTGGCACAGTGTTCCTACATCCCCAGGCTGCAAGGGGGCAGGAGGGCCTGTAGATAAACCTTGCATTTCCTTCATCTCATCCAGTCTGTAGGGATATGTTTTTCTGTGGGTTTTTCTTCAGCTAAGAGTCGCCTTCAACAGGAGCTTTCTGACCTGTTAATTCAGGTTCTTTTTGGTTTGTTTGGCTTTTTTTTTTTTTTTTTTTTTTAAATACAGGATGGATAAATGTGGGGTTTTGGTCACTGTCCCCATCAGCTCCTCAGAGTTGTTGGCCACCCTACCACTAACTGGAAGAGGGAACGAATGCCAGGGCTGCAGTGAGGCTCCACGCCTCATCCATCCTCACCAGTGATGACACGACACAGCACAGCTGCAGCCCGGACAGCAACCTCAGTGCCAACCAAGCCCTGCCAGCCCCTCCTCCCATTCTCTTCCACAGCCTGCCCTCCACCGCCCAAACAGGGCTGCCAGCCAGGCCTTGGGTCATCGATTTGACCAGGAGCACTTGGTCACTACAAGGACATGCCCTGGTTCCCTGGGAGAGCAGGATCCCCTCATCAGAGCAGCTGGAGTTTGCTGACCACCAAGGAAGAGATGAGACCTGCAGTGACTGTTCTCGTGCCAAGAAGCCTTGGGTCAGGGCCAAGTGTTTCCAGAGCCAAGCACCCGTATGTGTGTGGGAAGAGGTGGCTAAAGCCACTAGGGTGCTCACCCCTCAAGATTGCTCCCCAGTCTTTTCCTCAGCGGGTGCCACTCTTTCTCAAGGGTGATGGTGGACCTCTTCTTCCCTCACTTTCAGGTCTGGATTCCTCAGATCTCTTCCTTGAGGTGGCCAAGGAGAGGCACTCTCTCCTCATGGTCCCTGGCCCCGGCATTTATACTCAGTTCTTTTAGCCAGACTCACCCCCTCTTCCTCCCATGCAAGTTCTTTTGGGGACACCCAGAAAACTTCACTGAGAAGGAAGGTGAAAGGTAAGTTGGATTGCTCCTTTCCCAGTTCCTAGGAATAGGCAAGAAGCCAGTCTCTCCGAGTTGGCAGGAGGCTCACCTACCTGGCCTTGCTCCTCCACGCTCCCCCCCCCCCCCCCAGCCCCTGCAAGCCCTGGGCAAGTCAAAGACTTTGCTCTTAAGCAGCAGGAGACCAAACCCGCCTGGAGTGTAGATGGGGTCAATAACAGCCACTCGCCCTCGCTCCACTGTTTTGGGAACCTGCCAGGAGAACAAAGCTCAGGACGCTGCTTGTGCTAGGACCGCACCCTGCCCTCACTTCCCCAGCCTCCTGGGGCCTTGCCCCATCAGTCAAATCAGTGAACCTCTCAACCTTGCCTCGCAGCGACTCCACAGCACCAAGCGGCATCCACCAAGAGTCAGGCTGGAGAAAAGGGAGCCCAAAGAGTAGAGAGTGACTGAGAGTTACATGTTCATTAAATCTTGCATTTACCCCCCTAAGGGTCTCATTTTGGGGGCAGTGTGGGGCAAAGGTTCAAACATTGTCAATTTTTCTGACTTTTTAAATCATCATCATTATTTTTAATTAAAAAAAAATGCCTGTATGCCTTTTTCTGGCCCTTGTAAATAAAATGCCATTGTCCTGTTATGTCTTGACTCACATGCAAGGGTATGGGGTTCTTGAAAGTATGACCATTTCACTGAACCGGTTGAGTAGCTACTTTAGAAGCTCAGTCTCCCACCTGGGTCCTCTAGGATTCAGGCCATTGCTATTTTGTGCCTGCTGTAAGCGGGCCTCTTCTGCTCGACCTCTCTTTGTGGAGTCACAAGCATTTGCCCCTCTGGATAAGCAGGAAGTAGCAAACAAGTAAGACTCAGGTAACAGTGTGACCTCATTTGAAGTTCTGAGCTTGTTTCACTCTTGTCAGATTGGGTGCTTTCAAAGCATTCCAGAATTTGAGAGGCAGAGTTGGGTGCTGGGAATCAAACCCATGTCCTCTGGAAGGACAGCAAGTAATCTTCACTGTTAAGCCATCACTCCAGTTGATGAGTTATTAGTTGCTGAGTTCTAATTGAATTCTGGCGAGGGTCAAAGCTGTGCATGGCTTGAATCCTTTCAACTTTGTAGAGGCTTATTCTCTGGCTACACATGCAGTCTGTCTTGGTAAAAGCTAACATACCCTGGGATGAATGAGTCTTTCGTGTTCTTGGGTGGCCATTCTACCAATGGCTGTCAGGTCAGGCCAGCACTGGTGCTGTTCAGATAGAGTTTCTGGACTCTGACTACAGTTGTAGGCTTGATAATTGCATGTCAAACACTGTGGTTATGTTTTTGCTTTTTTGCTCAAGGGCCTTATATAAAGCCTGGGTTGGCTCCAAAGTTATTATGTAGCTGGGGATAACCTTGAATCTTGATCTTCCCTCCTCATCAAGTCTGGCTGTGTGTGTGTGTCTGTGTCTGTGTGTCGTCTGTCTCACAAGGTCTCACTATGAAGTTCTGGCTGGGCTTGAACTCACAAAGATTACCCCTGCCTCTGCTTCCTGAGTTCTGTGATTAAAAGTGTGCACCATTATGCCAGGCCTTAAAGAATAAGCATTTAACACTTTTATTTGTTCGGTGTGTGCATGCATAACGCTGTGGAGCACATGTGGAGGTTAGAGAACAACTTGCAGAATGTGGGTTCTTTGGATCGAGTGTAGGCCATTAAGCTTAATGGCAGGTGTCATTGCGCACTGAAATAGCTCCTATTTTGCTTTTTTCTAGTAGTTTCAGGTGGACAAATAGCCTATCCCTGCCTTGCCTGGAAACACATCTCTGAAGTTGCCTTTCATCTAGAGAATGCAGGAAGTCTGAAGGACAGTCTGCTGAATTGAGAGTCCATTACATGGCAGATGGTTATTTCTTGGCTACTCGTGCAGAAAGCCCTAGATTCTGTTTTCAAGACCCACATGGTAGTTCACAACAGTCCACAACACCAATTACAGGGAACCAGCCTGCTCCCTTGGTCTTTGTGGGCACCAGGAATGCACTGGGTGCACATACATGCATGCAAGCAAGACACTCATGCCCATAAAGTCTTAAAAAAAAGTCCTACCTGCCTCCTGAGCTTGGTAGTGACTTAAGTGTTCTAGGAGTCAGTACCCTGTAGACCTGGGGACCACCACAGTGCAAATGCTCCCTGAAGGGTCCCAGGAGCCACTGCAGGCAGCCACCTCCCCCATGCTTGCTTAGAGCAACTTGCAACACCGTCTCCCCTCAATCAGCAATAGACTCCAGAGTGGGACCCAGTTCTAGCCAGCAAGCTACAGCAAAGTACATATGCTCTGGGAAGGGCTCTCTCACTGTGGAGCAGAATCAGGGGAGTTGCTGATAGGTCCCAGTGTGACCCTTGGAAGTTATTGCCTTAGCTCAGATCTGAGAGTGAAACCATCATGAAGGCTGTCAGATAGGACAAGGTCCTAGCCCTTGAAGACATCAGTGAGCAGTTAAATCAAACAGTCCCATGCCTGTCTCACCTCAGTAGACTCATGTAAAGAAAAAGCCTACTGTGTAAGTCAGACCTGTTAGCTACGTCCAAAAGTGTTGTCATGGAGTCAGTGTCTTGGAAGGCTGGAGGTGCGTGGGGAGATGGGGACACCCCCCCCCAGAGCAGAGGTTCCCAACCTTCCTAACGCTGTGACCCTTTAATACAGCTCCTCATGTTGTGCTGACCCCCAGTTATTCTCATTGCTACTTCATAACTGTAATTTTGCTAATGTTAAGAATCATAGTATAAGCCAGGCATGGTGGTACACACCTGTAATCCCAGCACTGACTCAGGGAGGCAGAAGGAGGTGGATTGCTGTGAGTTAGGCCAACCTGGTCTACCAAGCAAGTCCAGGACAGCCAAGGCTACACAGAAAAACCGTGTCTTGGGAAAAAAAAATAAGTAAAATAAAAATTGAAAGAATCATAAAGTAAATATCTGTGTTTTCCAGTGGTCTTGGGGAACCCATGTAAAAGAGCCCCTGCTGAGCAAGGGGCAAGCTGGCATGATGCTTCCTTGAATTTTTGTGCTGAGAAAGTGTCCCTGGCGGAAATATCAAAGTCCCCTGGGCTGTAATCAAGGCAGTTGCTGATTATGAACAGTTGCCTTAGTTTAGGGGCAGATTTTTCTCCGCTTGAACCCACAGGTTGAGGACTGCTGCTCTAGAGGGACTCCTGCTAAGGGATTCCCAGTTTCTCCTGTGGGGCAGGAAATTGACTGAAGGATGTGAAAAGGTCACATAGTAGGGAATGGATGGCAGAAGGGGCCTCCCAGCTGGTGCCATTTAACCACAGCTCACCTCTACCACCCCACATCTTCACACTGCCACCCCAAGGCTCCCATATCCCTCAGCTCACCATCACCTCCCAAAGGCTCCCTCCTACACCCCACAGCTTCCACACCCCTAGGCTCCCCACCATCACCCCACCCTGAGTCAGCTCTGGTGAGGCCATAGGTGGGGATTCACCATCCAGACTGCAATCAATAGTTCTGCTGCTGTTCAAGGGGCAAGCTGACATGGTACTTCCTTGAATTTTTGTGCTGAAATAGTGTCCCTGAAGGAAAATATCAAAGTCCCCTGGGCTACAATCAAGGCAGTTACTGATTATGAGCAATTACCATAGTTTAGGGACAGATTTTTTTTCCATATTGAAAGTAATTTGTTCCAAGTTTTATTTCTGGGCCAAAAGTACAGGGCAGATACCTGATATGGTGAGAAAACCCAGGCTTATGTCTGTTCCCCATTCCAGAGCAGAAGCCCTGCTCACTCTGGCCTCCATTCTCACTTTGGAACCTATAAACTCGGCCATCTCTGTGGGAGGGGTTGGGTATGGGGCCATGGGCCTTTATTGCTCCAGTTCTCAGGCTGCCTGGAGAGTTCCTATCCCTCAAGAAATTTAAGCTCTGAAGTGCTTTCAGCGGCTCCATGCCTTTGTCTACAGTCCCCTGGCCAAGGCAACCTGTTTTCTCTTTGCCCATCTGGAAGCCCTTCTGTGTAGAATAACTAAGTTCCCAACTGTGCCAAGCCTGATTTCAGGTGAAGGGAGACAGCAGTGAAAAAGCACCTGACACACCCAGGAAAGCAACTGTTTAACTACTGCAGCCCAGAGATGGTGGGGCACGCCTTTATTCCCAGCACTTGGGAAGCCAAGGCAAGTGAACCTTAGGGAGTCTGAGGCCAGCCTGGTCTATATAGAGAATTCCAGGACAGTCAAGGGATACACAGAAAAACTCTGTCTTAAAACTTAAAAAAAAAAAACAAGCAAACAAACGAAAGTAATGTGCAGTAGAGCCTCAGGCAAACACGACCCCAGCCAGTGGAAGGGGGTTGGGACATGGAAACATCCAGAAAGGTTTTGCTGAAGAGGTGAAATGCTTTTCCAAATGATAAAAGTGCACAGATGTCTGGAGAAGGTTCCAAGAAGAGGGAATAGGAAGCAAGAAGCGAGATGATCTCAAACCCCAGGTTTAAGACTGGTGTGGCTGGAAGGCTATGTGAAGGAGGCCGAGCCAAGGTCGGTTCTGAAGGGTCTTGAGGGGCTGTGGAGAGTGGGTTTGCTCTTGTGTAAGATCTAAGCCCCAGGAGGGTTTGGAACAGAAGGGCACGGGCTGACTTCAGTTTACAAAGCCGCTGTAGCCATGTAAACTCCAACACACAGTAGTTATTCTGTAAGTACTGGTGGCTACTGGACCCTTGAGCTGAGGGCAGGGCCCCTCGGAGAGCGTGGTAAGGTGTGTAGGTAAACAGCAGAAGCAGGAGTGCCCTCTGTAGGCAAGGCTCACAATCCACAAGGGCAGGGCACATGGCCGAGCAGCGTAGAGAAGTCCAACACCGCGTGCAGTAGGTAAAGCACTTGTTTCACTTTCGTGCTACCACCCAGGAGCTTAGGCCCAAATCAGGCAAATCCTATGGGGTACCAGGCCCTATAGTGTGTCCCACTGATTCCCCTAAAAAAGTAAGGACGGGTTTGGGGCATTAAAGAAAAACCCAGCCAGGTGGTGGTGGCACGTGCCTTTAATCGAGGCCAGCTTGATCTACAGAGGGAGTTCTAGGACAGCCAGGGCTACACGGAGAAACCGGGTCTTCAGAAAGAAGAGAGGGCAGACCCAGATGGTAGAAGCAGGCCAGGCGCTGGTGCCAACGTTTATGTTGTGCTTGGGAAGATGGGAGAATTGCTGTGGGAATCAGAGGCTTCTGAGAAGAGCTGAATCTGGCATAGCACTGTCCTCTCCTTGCTTGCTGCCCTGTGTGCCGATCTTTCTTCTGAGGCACACATGACACTCCTCTCTGCTATCTATCCACAGAATAAAGCCCTGGCACTCCTAGTGTTCCCAACCTGCCTACCCGGCCCTACACATCTCCAGCAGGCAGGCATCCTGCTGTGTTCAACATACTGCATTTTTGTTGTTGTTGTGGTTATTTTTAAAAGATTTATTTACTATTTATACACTATCCTGCCTGCAGGCCAGAAGAGGGCAACTGATCTCACTATAGATGCTTGTGAGCCACCATGTGGTTGCTGGGAATTGAACTCGGGACCTCTAAAAGAACAGCCAGTGCTCTTAACCATCTCTCCAGCCCAACACACTACATTGTACTTAACACTGTTGGCCCTGCAAG